CATCCCGCTCCTTTACGCTGGAATTATAGGAGCCGAGTCGCGCGAACTGTCAGACGGCTGCGAACTGTTTCGTGCACAATTCTAAAGTCAACGTCCTTTTTTTGGCACTTCTTTTTCGTCAGGCATTCGTGCTTACGTCTCTCTTTCTCTCTCTCTATCTATCTATCTATATAGATAGATAGATAGATAGATAGATGTGTGTATATATATATATACATACATCCACCCATATCCACACACACACACACATAAATGGGTGTATGTATGTTTTTTTTTTTTTTTTTTTTTTTTTTTTATAAGAAGCCACACACACACACATCTACATATATATATATATACACACACACACATACACACCGTAAAACCACACACACACACATATTCACATCTATCTATCTATCTATCTATCTATCTATATAGATAGATAGATAATATAAATATATATGTGTGTGTGTGTGTATGTGTATATATATATATGCATATATACATATATATGTATGTATATATATATATTACAATAATCATAAGTTTTCCTTAACTTTTATTACATTCCTTTTGTAACGATTTAATTTGCGAAATATGGCATTTGGCAACTTTGCAACGTGAAAGCACCATTAGGCTGACGGGTATAAAAGACGCGTCTGTTCTGCCGTGAAGCATGATTTTGCAGTGTTTGCAACAGGAACCAAAATCAAAATGAAAGCTGTGAGTAATGGATTTTCTGTAATACAAATACAGTTTACCAGAATCGGGAATTTGCATTCACTGATGTTTATCGCATTTCACGGAACAATGCAAATATTCTAGCTGCAGCCGACGGTAAAAACAGCGGATATCATATTGTTTATTTTTAATCCACACCTAAGAGTCGATCAATGTTTAATTTATTTCTTTGCGAAAAAAAATCAACAAAGTCCATGCAATACCCTCAGATCGTGTTGGCGATGTTCGTGGCCGCGGCCCTGGCTGACAAGCCCTCCTTCTCCTACGACGCCCCTGCATCCCGCCCATCCGGCCCCGTCAGGGTGGTCGAAATCGTCCGCGACGATCGAGTCCATCCTGCCGCTGACGGCTCTTACACCTTCGACGTCGAGACCGAGGACGGCATCGTCAGGCACGAGGCTGGCGGCCCAGGAGGTGCTCAGCAAGGCTCAGTCAGGTGAGTCAGTAAACGTTCAGAGCTTTTTGTGCATGGGATGTCTCACAAACGTTCTTTATCATGCAGAGTTAATGTCTGAGAGAATAAGAGCCACACGCAAAGTAACCTATCGCAATATCAAACTTCCAGCTTCACCTTCCCGGACGGCCAAGTGTTCGACCTCCAGTTCGTCGCCGACGCTAACGGTTACCAGCCTCAGTCGCCCTTCCTGCCCGTGGCTCCTGCCTTCCCCCACCCCATTCCCGCCCACGCCCTCGAGCAGATCGAGCGAGGGGCGTCTTGAGCTATGAAGCTCGCGCCCGAGGAGAACTGCGCCAGTCATCCAGCCAGGGTCACTCCGCTCCCTCACAACTCTACGGCCGACCTTAGTTGATGAACGAGGTCTCAGTCGTATTTTCATTTTCTTCTGTCATTCCTTGTTGTGTATATCTTCTTGTTATACCAGTATAGGATGAATGTTTGTTATTCCTTGTGATTTGTCTTATTTATTTACGAATAAATTTTGACCCTTTACAACTTTTTTTCTCTGTTAGGATTTACATATTTGCATGTATTACTATACTCGAGGTTCAGTTCAATTTAAAGTCGTTTAGTTATAAAAGTGCATTGTATGAATTTATACATAAACACAAATGCAGATTACATTTCTTTCTCGTGCGTTATTCTGATCGAAGAATGATTTCTATAGCAATAAAAAGGTCGAACTATTTGATATAAACACATGAAGTATATTAAAGAATAATATAACTCCCTTTCAGACGTTTTCTTTTTCTTTTTTTTCGGACCGGTGTGTTTTCAAATATAGACATTTTCCACACCCGACAACAGTTTCTATACCATCCTAGTGGACGGCAAAAAATCTTTGCAGCAAAAAGATACAATTTTTTAATAATTCATCAGTCGGCATCTACCCTTGAAGGAATTATTCGTATTGTCAACAGCAAGATTGTGAAAATCGATGTTTCCTAAAACGGCCTTAGATTCATCACCTCCCGTCGACGCAAACAGGACATCGGTGTCTCATGAGGAAGAGGACGCACCTATTCCTGTGTTATACCTTAAAGAATATATGTATGTGTGTGCACGCAGTGTTCTGAAGGACGGTAGCCACTTCAAGTCGATGCCAGTCGCTTTCGACCTGCCGGCTAGATTCGTCCAGCATTGCTGTCTTATTGCCCTCCGAGGGGTTAGCACTAAGAGGCTTTTCTCAAGAAATTCTGTACCTGCGTGTTGTGCCTTGATTTCCACAAAAACCGATTAAGCCGCCACTCAAACTAATCATAACCTCGAGGACGAGTGCCAGGCTGAGGAATGGGTGCAGCTGCCTGCTTGCTTGCTTAGTTCATTTATCACAGCCTGTCAATCTCTGGTAAAAGCTCAGGCTTGAATCGCTGTTTCTCTTTCATACATGCCATATACCTGGGCACACATGATAAGTTCGTTTTTTTATCTACACTTTTTTCATATGCATCACACTACTTTTTTATATTCACTTCACCCCGTACGCTCGATTGTCTCAGTCTTCAATAACTAGCTAATCTTGTAAAAGTAAGTACTGAATAAGTGTGTCACTGTAATTGAGTATACGGTATATACTAGTAATGATGATCCAGATAATTACAACCGTTCTCAAGTTTATCATTAAGATTACGTTTTGCTGCCCCTAAACACCACACTACCAAGGCATTCGTACAAAACTATGCATGCTAATATGCATATGCTATAATTTGGTACTTCCTCTATGAATGTAGTCAGAAATTGATTATAGTCATATCACTTTTTGGATATTTAAGAGTTCCCTGGATGATGGCTATGAAAAGCGCGTCAATTTTGTTTCGAAGAATAGCGCTTGCAAAAGTGATACAAATATGAAAATTGTGAGGGATCTATTGTAAAGTAAACTGTTTCTACAAATATAAGATAAAAAATCCGTTAACGAAATCGATACATCATGTTATAAATGATTTTTTTCCCCTGCAAGGTTCCGTAGGGTAAGTACATAAGACATATATATGCATCATATGACCAATAATATGTTCATAGATTCTAGGATATATTATATCTACGGAGCCTGTTCCAAGGTCTGGACTTCTTTTCCTTTTCTCAGTCGTACCTTCTTGCCGAACAACTCTTCGACCAGCTTTAGCCGCCCTTGCTGCCCGTGGCCCCTGTCTTTCCCCACCCAGTCCACGCCCACGCCCTCGAGGATCTTCCGGACTCGTCCAATAAAGAACACACACATCCATGGTCTACTTACCATGTTATTATTTGCTTAAGATGGTAGTTGTTAACATATTTATTTAGAATGGTGGTAAGCTATCCCATATACCCGCAACACATAAATCTGTCAATGTTCGACGTCACAACTTTCACTTCCGGCACCAATGCAAAAAAGTAAATTCATGAGTGCAGATTCGAAGTGTAATGTGATAGCCTTGAATGGCTGAAATGTAAAGACTAGTTCACTCACTGATACGTGAAATAGCCAATATATCCCTAAACTTGTAACTATATGTGAAACATATATAGTCTGCAGCATATTGAAGTGAATAATTGAAAGCGGCTGTAAATGAAAATCAGTATACACATTGCTTCCGGCTTTTGCACTTTCCTGCGTCAATAGAAAAAAAGAAGAAACGCTATACACACACACACACACACACACACACACACACATATATATATATGTATATATATATGCATATGATATATTCATCCGCCCATAATTTCTCACATAGATGTTAACTGAATAGTTAATCAATCATTATTGTAATTAAACCTAAGTGCAAGATATGTATTACGCATACTTACCGTTATTTTAAGAGTATTCATTGGTATGGTAAGACTGTAGCCAATGCGGACACAAGCACATGCTCACAAACACTGTATACAAGCAACACAGACATTTATGTCTCGCTATAATGAACCTTTTATGCTGGTGGCATAGGTAGCCAGCCAGATACGGGAATAAGATAAAGTGTAAGGAAACGACCACAAACTTCTAGAAGTGAAATCACAGGAGCAGAACAGCTATAAACTGCATACATTTCTCGGCAGGGTGATTATTTTTAAAGCCAACACCTGGGCAAAGGAAGCCAAAAGCCTCCCCGGCGGGGAATCGAACCCCGGTCTCCCGCGTGACAGGCGGGGATACTAACCACTATACTACCGAGGAATCGGCTACTCTTAATAACACTATGATGACCTTACTAGTGCAAGGTGGCCTCCCATATTTTCTTCATCTCGCCTCCAGCCTCCCGTATTCTCGCGCGTCCTGACACCTCACAGCCCGGACAATGCTCGCTGCAATCGTCCTCTTTAGATTTTTCTATGTTCACTTATTTCTGTTTTATTGCTCTATTTTACGTTGGTTCGTGCAAGACACTTATGTTTGAGTTTGCCCTTTGACCCCGTCCTTTCATCTGCGAGTCATTTATACGCCAATTACTCCTCGCTTCTTATGTGAGGTTCATGGTTACCAGTATTATGTTTAATTATCTCCTATTTTACTTTAGTTTTTTGTCACTTTTTACTGAGCGGAAGGTGGAAAACTCGGCACGTCTGGGCATCACATCACACGGGAAAAGTACAAGTTAAATTCTGTTTTCCTGACTATTTTCTTTGTGCATAGGAAATGGACATGATTCTTTGTTTTTGATATTAAATATAAACCAGAATTTTATAGATTTGACATAGTATACTAAGGTTGTGAATATTACAAGATTTTTTTTTTTCGACTTAGATCATTTATTTAACATTATTCTCTTACGATAATGTCGAAGTGTATATACAGGAAGTCATTTGGTTTCCATTCACGCTACCACTTCATAGGAATCAACTTGACAGGGAACCCATTGGAAATAGATTAATATTGGTTACGTAGCCACAGCACCACACCACACTAGTATTTGGACTAACATCCTCCTCCTCTTTCTTTCTCAATATGTGGCTTTGTGCGTGTATGTGTTTGTATTTGCACGCGTGTGTGTTTGTATCCTCTTCCTTAGTTTCCTTATCTTCCACGATGTTGCATCCCTTCCATCTTCATACACTTCTAATGCAATGTAAACGTTTATGAAAGATGAGCATATAATTCTTCATAAAGAAATGGCACTTCATTCCCCCACAGACTAGTTCAGGGTTCTTCAAAGTACGGGTCGCGATCCAGTGCAAGCTCATGTTCAGTAGGTCGCTACATAATAATAATAACGGTAATATTATTATGAAAGTAAGATATAAGTAAACAAATTATATATATATACATATATACATAAACTAATGCCATGTTGAGAGGAAGGTGCGATAGAATGGATATACTGTGTCGTGAAGGAGATGTACAAAACCAAACTGGATCGTGATGAAAAGGTTTGAAGAACACTGGACTAGCTGACACTGGTGGAAGCTGTTGTGAAGTATTTTCCTTCAGGCATAGGAAGCGTATGCTAGGGTGTCATATGAGAGAAGCATAACATTAATAATAAGGTTTAATAAACTATAGCATGCAGAATACTAGAATTAAAGAAAATTGTAAATGCAGTTAAATTCATATTTACAGATAAATAGCTAAATCTTTCCTGCTGGAACTGTCGATTTGTATATAGATTGATCTATCTACACATATATATTTATATATATACATATATATACATATATATATATATATATATATATATTCATATATATATATATATATATATATATATATATGTGTGTGTGTGTGTGTGTGTGTGTGTGTGTGTGTGTGTGTGTGTGTGTGTTTTTGTGTGTGTGTTTGTGTGTGTGTGTGTCTGTGTGTGCACATATATATATGCATATACATTTATAAATATAAACATACGTTTTTCATTTACATAACATATATGCATTTGTATGTGCTCACATATTATGCTTCCTCTTCCTCTCTTTCTTTCTCTCTCTCTCTCTCTCTCTCTCTCTCTCTCTCTCTCTCTCTCTCTCTCTACATATATGTACAGTATATACACACACACACACACACACACACACACATATATATATATATATATATATATATATATATATATATATATATATATATATATATATATATATATATAATATTAAGATGTATATAAACATACACGAGCGCACATAAACGTGCATACGTGTTTATTATATATATATATATGTATATATATATATATATATATATATATATATATATATATATATACATATATACATATATATATACATATATAAAAATTATATACATATACATATGTGTGTGTGTGTGTGTGCGTGTGTGTATGCATGTATGTGTGTGTGTGTGTGTGCACGCGTGTTTCTTTATATACATATCGAAAGATAGATAGATAGACAGATAGAGAGAGAGAAAGGCAATTTTAGGGTAACAGGAATAAACAGGGACAATCATTTTCACATACAAATATATGGAATTGAAACCTCTGTAACTGATTTGGATAAGAAAAGTTTCACGAGGTATTACCTTACTTAGTGATAATATACAGTATACATATGTAGATGCATAGAATGACGGATATTTTCATTGTTTATTTATATTCAAATACTTTTAAGTATCTGACTTACAGTGATATAAATAATCGATAACCTTTATTGCAATACTTGTATAACAATTAAAGTTGCAAAATGTGGCATTTGGCAACTTAGCAACCTAAAAGCACCATTAGCTGACGGGTATAAAAGGCACGTCGTTTCTGCCGTGGAGCATGATTTTGCAGTTTGCAACAGGAATCATAATCATAATGAAAGTTGTGAGTATTGAATCTTCTGTAATATTTCTACCTGAATCGGGAATTTGTATTCACTGATTTTCATTATATTTTACGGAACAATGAACAATTGTTACTTTATAATCCACATCTAAGAGTCGATCAGTGGTTCCATGTAATACTCTCAGATCGTGTTGGCGATGTTCGTGGCCGCGGCGCTGGCTGACAAACCGTCCTTCTCCTACGACGCCCCTGCATCCCGCCCATCCGGTCCCGTCAGGGTAGTCGAAATCGTCCGCGACGATCGAATCCATCCTGCCGCTGACGGCTCTTACACCTTCGACGTCGAGACCGAGGACGGCATCGTCAGGCACGAGGCTGGTGGCCCAGGAGGTGCTCAGCAAGGCTCAGTCAGGTAAGTCAGTAAACGATCAGCAAATTTTGTGCATGGGGATATCATAAACTTTCTTTATATACATATCGAAAGATAGATAGATAGACAGATAGAGAGAGAGAAAGGCAATTTTAGGGTAACAGGAATAAACAGGGACAATCATTTTCACATACAAATATATGGAATTGAAACCTCTGTAACTGATTTGGATAAGAAAAGTTTCACGAGGTATTACCTTACTTAGTGATAATATACATATACATATGTGTGTGTGTGTGTGTGTGTGTGTGTGTGTGTGTGTGTGTGTGTGTGTGTGTGTGTGTGTGTGTGTGTGTGTGTGTGTGTGTGTGTGTGTGTGTGTGTGTGTGTGTGTGTGTGTGTGTGTGTGTGTGTGTGTGTGTGTGTGTGTGTGTGTGTGTGTGTGTGTGTGTGTGTGTGTGTGTGTGTGTGTGTGTGTGTGTGTGTGTGTGTGTGTGTGTGTGTGTGTGTGTGTGTGTGTGTGTGTGTGTGTGTGTGTGTGTGTGTGTGTGTGTGTGTGTGTGTGTGTGTGTGTGTGTGTGTGTGTGTGTGTGTGTGTGTGTGTGTGTGTGTGTGTGTGTGTGTGTGTGTGTGTGTGTGTGTGTGTGTGTGTGTGTGTGTGTGTGTGTGTGTGTGTGTGTGTGTGTGTGTGTGTGTGTGTGTGTGTGTGTGTGTGTGTGTGTGTGTGTGTGTGTGTGTGTGTGTGTGTGTGTGTGTGTGTGTGTGTGTGTGTGTGTGTGTGTGTGTGTGTGTGTGTGTGTGTGTGTGTGTGTGTGTGTGTGTGTGTGTGTGTGTGTGTGTGTGTGTGTGTGTGTGTGTGTGTGTGTGTGTGTGTGTGTGTGTGTGTGTGTGTGTGTGTGTGTGTGTGTGTGTGTGTGTGTGTGTGTGTGTGTGTGTGTGTGTGTGTGTGTGTGTGTGTGTGTGTGTGTGTGTGTGTGTGTGTGTGTGTGTGTGTGTGTGTGTGTGTGTGTGTGTGTGTGTGTGTGTGTGTGTGTGTGTGTGTGTGTGTGTGTGTGTGTGTGTGTGTGTGTGTGTGTGTGTGTGTGTGCACGCGTGTTTCTTTATATACATATCGAAAGATAGATAGATAGACAGATAGAGAGAGAGAAAGGCAATTTTAGGGTAACAGGAATAAACAGGGACAATCATTTTCACATACAAATATATGGAATTGAAACCTCTGTAACTGATTTGGATAAGAAAAGTTTCACGAGGTATTACCTTACTTAGTGATAATATACAGTATACATATGTAGATGCATAGAATGACGGATATTTTCATTGTTTATTTATATTCAAATACTTTTAAGTATCTGACTTACAGTGATATAAATAATCGATAACCTTTATTGCAATACTTGTATAACAATTAAAGTTGCAAAATGTGGCATTTGGCAACTTAGCAACCTAAAAGCACCATTAGCTGACGGGTATAAAAGGCACGTCGTTTCTGCCGTGGAGCATGATTTTGCAGTTTGCAACAGGAATCATAATCATAATGAAAGTTGTGAGTATTGAATCTTCTGTAATATTTCTACCTGAATCGGGAATTTGTATTCACTGATTTTCATTATATTTTACGGAACAATGAACAATTGTTACTTTATAATCCACATCTAAGAGTCGATCAGTGGTTCCATGTAATACTCTCAGATCGTGTTGGCGATGTTCGTGGCCGCGGCGCTGGCTGACAAACCGTCCTTCTCCTACGACGCCCCTGCATCCCGCCCATCCGGTCCCGTCAGGGTAGTCGAAATCGTCCGCGACGATCGAATCCATCCTGCCGCTGACGGCTCTTACACCTTCGACGTCGAGACCGAGGACGGCATCGTCAGGCACGAGGCTGGTGGCCCAGGAGGTGCTCAGCAAGGCTCAGTCAGGTAAGTCAGTAAACGATCAGCAAATTTTGTGCATGGGGATATCATAAACTTTCTTTATATCGAGTTAATGTCTGCCAGCACAAGGGCCACACACAAAGTAACCTATTGTAAAAATCATCCTTTCAGCTTCACCTTCCCGGACGGCCAAGTGTTCGACCTCCAGTTCGTCGCCGACGCCAACGGTTACCAGCCTCAGTCGCCCTTCCTGCCCGTGGCTCCTGCCTTCCCCCACCCCATCCCCGCCCACGCCCTCGAGCAGATCGAGCGAGGGCGTCTTGAGCATGAAGCTCGCGCCCGCGGAGAACTGCGCGAGTCATCCAGCCAGGGTCACTCAGCTCCCTCACAACTCTACGGCCGACCTTAGTCGATTATTTGATGAACGAGTTCTCAGTCGTTTAATTTATATCTGACATTCTTTGTTGCGTATATCTTCTTGTTATACCAGTATAGGATGAGTGTTTGTTATTCCTTGTGATTTGTCTTATTTATTTGCGAATAAATTTTGACCCTATAACTTAAGTATGATTTACATATTTACATGTATCCCTTCAAAGTTGTCTTAAATTTGTCGTGTAGTTATAAAACAAAGTGTTTTTGTAAACATTTGGTCTTAAATGCAAATGCAGATATTCACATTTCTCTCTCTCGCGTCATATAAACACAAGAAGTATATTTCTTAGTATAAAAGGGTATTTATTAGAATACATTTAGTATAAGGTATCCATTTCTGTGTGTGTATCTGTAACTGCCTAAGTTTATGGTCAGAAAAGAACAAAAGACATCCACGTGCATCCACTGGCATCGGTGAGCATTTTCAGACCCATTCTCGGCTGGCTTGACACTGCAGGGACAGGAGGAATCCCTTCTTTCCCATACACCTGCTGTCTCATTGCTTCCCAGAGGTTGGCACTAAAAGATCTTTTCTCAAGTAAGTCTGTGCTTGCGTGCTGTTGCACAACCTTGTCTTGATTACCATAATAACCAGTTAATGGCCGCCACTTAAAGTAATTATGACCTCATACCTCCAGAACGAGTGTAAGGCTGGGGAATGGGTGCAGCTGCCTCCCGTCCCGAGCTTGTCTTAATTGACTCATCACAAATTGAGTTCTTAGACATCAACCTTTGACAACTGCTCAAGCTTAAATCACTGTTTCTCTTCCAGGTATACACGGCATATACCTTATGACCCATCTTCTGTTCAGTTTATTTTATCAGATCATTTTCCTTTTTCTTTCTTGACTTTTTTCCATAGCGCATTACTTTGTATTTATATTGACTTCACCCAAGTTGCTGAATTTTCTCAGCCTTCAACAGCAAGCTAATCTTGCAAAGGTAAAGTACATACTGGATATGTGTCACTCCAGTTGAGTATATATGGAAATAATGATAATACGAAGATCATGATCAAAAAAGGTAGTCAGGTTTATTACTATGAAGATTATGATTCCCCGCCACTAAACGCTACACTAGTGAGGCATTCGTGCAAAGCTAGCCACGATTATATCCGTATACTAACTACTATCTCCTTAAACAACTGATAGTCAGAAATTGACTATAATGATGAAGAAAGTCGCTTATTTCATATCTAGCGTTCCCTAGATGCAGCTTCTGGCTGATGACTATGAATAGCGCGTCAGCTGTTTCGAAGAATCGCGCTTGCAAAAGCGACGCAATGAATATGAAAATTGTGTGGGATCTATTGTGAAATAAATTGTATTCTGCAAATGTCGGAAGTAATATCCGTTAACGGAATGGTTTATGATATAGATTACAGATTTTATTTTGTCCTTTTTTTCTTTTCCGAGGTTTGCAATCATCTTCCAAAGGAGTGTTGGGAATCATTTTCGACGATCGAGTCCTTCCTGCGGTTGATTCTCTTCCTCATTCGACGTCGAAACTGAGAATGGCATCAATAGGCACGATCTAAGTGGCCCAAGCGATACTCTGCAAGTTAACGGCATAAACATCATATGGTCATTGAGATATTCATAGATTCTACGCTTCCCTACACCGGTTATATATTCCATCTATGGAGCCTGTTCGAAGGACTGGATTTCATTCTTCTCTTCAGTCATACCTTCTCGACAAACAAATCTTTAACCAGTCTCAGTCTCCTTTGCTGCCCGTGGCTCCCTGCCTTCCCCCACACAATCGAGCAAGGCCGTCTTGAAGATGAAAATCGCGCCTTTGGGATCTGCCTGAGTCGTTCACTAAGGAACACTTACCCTAGTGCACATCAATGGTCTACTTACCCTGTGATTTATTTAAGGAGGTAGATATTAATATGTTCATTCAGAATGGCGTTACACTATCTCATAAAATCTTTAGACAAATCTATCAATGGCCGACATCACATCCAACAACAATGCTAAAAGCAAATTGGATGCTTGAGCTTTTCAAACACTTGTTCAGTCACTGATACGGGAAATACCCAATATATCCCCAAAGTTGGAACTATATGTGAAACATACATAGTTTAGTAGAAATCGAAATTCATAATAGAAAGCGTCTGTAAATAGAAATCAGTTTACACATTGTTCCTGTCTTTAGCAGTTTCCTGCATTATTAGGAAAAAGAAGTGTATATATACACATTATATAAATAATATATTCATCCGCTCGTAATTCTTAACACGAATACTAACTGAACAGTTAATCTATCACCACACACACCACACACACACACACAACACACACACACACAACACACACACACACACCACACACACACACACACAACACACACACACACAACACACACACACACACACACACACACACACAACACACACACACACACACACACACACACCACACACACACACACCACACACACACACACCACACACACACACACCACACACACACACACAACACACACACACACACCACACACACACACACCACACACACACACACCACACACACACACACACACACAACACACACACACACAACACACACACACACACCACACACACACACACCACACACACACACACACACCACACACACACACACCACACACACACACACAACACACACACACACACCACACACACACACACAACACACACACACACACACACACCACACACACACACACCACACACACACACACACACCACACACACACACACAACACACACACACACACACAACACACACACACACAACACACACACACACACACAACACACACACACACACCACACACACACACACACACACACAACACACACACACACACACACACCACACACACACACACACACAACACACACACACACACACAACACACACACACACACAACACACACACACACACAACACACACAC